TTTTTTTAACACTTGAGCCGTGCTCTGGACTTCTTGTTGATCTGGTATCTGTGATGAGAAATGACATGATATTGGTGGCACCTGTGAGAGAGGAAATGTTTAAAAGGTTCATGACATATAATGCCTTATTTAGCCTTTTGTGAGGTGTAGACTGATGTCTTGCATCTTGCCCCTTTGTTGTTGTTGTTGTAATAGCCGCTTTAGCTTGCTAGATATATGCTCCACAATGGCCTGACCAGCCGGTGAGTGAGGAATGCAGGTCAGATGCTTGACTCACCTCTGTATGACAGGATGCAAACAGTGCTCCAGAAAAGGTATTAACAGACACATGTACATATTTTAACATTTGAAATGCAGCTAAGTGAGTGACAACAGATTGCTATAATTCTGAGGAGTTGAGTCTCCAAGGGTCGACACCACTTCCCTGATGAAGAGATGGAGTCTTTCTGGTATTCAGGGCAAGTTGATAAAGAAAATTGTTTTTGTATTGCCCTGGCATTCTGGTGGAAAAAATGCAGAGCATATGGCTTACCTGGAGCCAAGACCCCTCCCCCTTTTTCTTTTTGCAAAAGCGCTTTCGAGGTTTGGTGTGCTCTTTCTACAATAGCTTGTTCCATGGGGGAATGCAGTGTACCTGTGATGCTTGTCTGTTTGAGATGGTGTTAGCTGTACAGTGGAGTTTTGCTTTCTCTGTAAGTACTCTGGGTGATGTCAGTGAAGGATCTTTTAATAAAATATCAAACAAGCTATGCAGATCATCATCAGTTAGGCCCACGACAGCTGTATCCAATTCATGGTTCCTAAGAGTTTCTGTAATCTTTTGAAGTCTTAATATCAGTTTTACGTTTAACCTGTTGCAGGACAATAGTCTGTCTAGAAATTTTTCAGCCCAGGTACTTCCTGGTGATGATATATGTAACTTTTCAAGTGATATTTGCAACACCATTTGAGATAGTGAGTATTTGGTTAAAGCAAGAGCCTTTTCCATGATCTCCTGTGTTTTTGCTGCAATAAGGATGTCATCCATATAATGATATATAACATCTTGGGGGACCTGGTGGGATTTTTATGTCTTATGGTAGAATAATACAGTGGTATAGTTTTGCAGGTTCTCTGATATTAATAGTGGGATAATTAATAATTAATAGTGGGAATAGAAAAAGTAATTTTAGGTGCATCATTTCAATGCAAGAGAATGATAAAAGAAATCAATCCTTCAGATCAATTACTACAAAATGCCAGTTTTGGGTAATCATTGTTGGGGAGGGCATTCATGGTTGTAAAGTATTTTTATCCTCCATAGTATTATTAATGTGTCGGAGTTCATGTAAAAGTCACTATTTACTAATTTTCTTTAAAATAAGAAACTTAATTGTCCTTGAATTAAATCATTAAGGTGGCACAACTTTTTCCTTGGCAAGGGCCACTGACTGAGTCACACAGGTGATTTGGTTTACTAGGTTAGTGTCAGGGTGAGTTTCAGGGTGGGTTGTGCTGCAGTGGTGATTAAGACAAATTTGATCCAATCTCAGTTCCCCATTGAGCCATATAGTCATGACCACAAAATGTAATAGGGGTTTCCAATATAAATGGATATTTTCTACCCAGTTTTCTGGGCCCCTTACATGAATGAGATCCTGGCTTTAAATTGCTACAGCCTGACCACCAACCCTGAAATGCATTTGAGTTCTCCGAGCTATCAGCCAATCTGCTCACAGATATTACAGTCACATCTGCACCAGTATCTAAAATCTGTCAGCTCAACACATTTTTTTATCTTTAGTGAGAACACATTGTACCAGAAGTCAACCTTGTGTCACTATCTGAATCTAAAAATATTTAAGGGGTACCTGCTGATCTAAATCCTGAGTCATCTCTGCTTTTCGACATACCATCAGTGGGAGCCATAGTAAAATTAACAAGCTGAAAATTTTTGACCCTTTTGTCACTGAATACTGAGGTACAGAGCATAATTTTTATTTTCCTCTTCATAACCAGTATCTATGACCCCTGGTAAAACAAACAACCCATGTAAGGTTGTAGATGATTTTTTGACAATATTTTCATTAGGCAGATGGTACAGACGTGCACTCTTCCGGCAGAGTATGCACCGAAATTTAGGACAACAATGAACACAGAATTACTGCCTCCTGCTAGAGGAGATATTTCACCTCTGACACTTAAAACACTGAGCCCAAACAGCAGCACTGATGACTGAGCGGGCGGGCACTAAGACCCTGTTGTTCCTTCCTGGCCTCTTCCCTGGCTGCAGCTGGGCTGCGTCTCACACACACAAAACTATCACACAACCACACAAAGGAGCCCCTTACACTTATTATTGACACAACATAAAATGACAAATATTACAAATACGAAAACACCATTAAGAACATATAAAGCCATTGCTGCATGACAGCGTCAGCACCTTTTCTGAAAAACCTGCCGCTTTTGGCGGGGGAGGTGTGGGGGTAAGTGCTGGCCGAGAGCGCAGTGCCGGGCTCAGCCACAGGCAGCCGCTCCGCGGCTGGGGGGCTCAGGGAGGCCCCGGGCCGCCGCCGCCGCCAACTCTCCACCTGCAGGTGGGGGGAAGCAAATGCTGAGCACAGAGATCCACACACTCGGTTTTCCAGATAAGAGTACTGTGCCGGAGTGAATGCCGTTTTTCTTAAAAGTTCTAGCTAATTTTATGGGATAATTGATATCCCTGAGCGATTGCCTTCAGTACAGCTGTTGTAAATGAGTTTTGCAGCCTATCCTCATTAATACTTTTCTGTAGACCTTTAGTAATAGAAAAATGCAGTCCTTCCCAACGTGGTTGATGTCCTGGCTCATAGCTTGCAGGAGCAACAATCTTTCTCGCCATGTCCATATCCCCTTGTGCCAAGGTTTCTCACCTCACTTTTACCCATGGATCATCCCCAGCTAAGGGAAGACACAGGCCAGTTTATTTTTCAAGATTTACAGCTTCAGGGTTTAAAAGATTATCAGATTCAAAAGACCCAGTATATAAATCTTACTCCCGGGGTTCAAAATATGCAGCCTTTCCCTCTGTGTTAACAGCCTGGCCGCATTCATTATTTTGTCTTTTTCTTATCTCAAAAATAGTTCTCCATGCGCTTACTCAGTGAGCTTTTTAAGATTTCTAAGAGATGTTTCTTTGCCTCTCATAGAGAGGATACTTAACAGCAGTTTTAGGGCCGTGTCTTTTTCCATACCTGCAGGATCTCCACTCTCCAGTGTTTCGTCCTGTGTCCTTCTGCTTCCCTGCCTGCAAGCTCCTGGTTTCACCTTCAGTGATGCTTTGGAGTCTTCTGCATTTAAGCGATTTTCCACATTTAAGCGAGTTTCCGCATTTAAGTGATTTCCACATTTAAGCGAGTTCCCTATTTAAGAAATAAAAAGGAGGTCCCTGTTCAAGAGCTAGTTGTAGGAGGAACCCCCTTAGTTGCAGGACGAGGCTGTGAGACAAGACACACACCAATATGGTTAACAGTCAAGCTCCAACGTTTATTAGAAAAACAAGTCCTTATATATTCTTGTGACAGCAAATCCGCGTGTTGCTCTGGCACATGCTCATTTCAAACACTCGTTCCTCTCAGCACTTTCAACAAGCGCTACTAAGCATGCACAACCAGTAGATAAATTTCTGCTTTGTTATTCTAAAGATTTCTTTCTTATCTGTTTCTTTCCTAATGAGTAAAAATACTTTCGCTTTTAGTCGTCATTAATCTAGACACCATTAGTCTTCTAACACAAGTGCATCATTAATTTAGACATTTTTAGTCTTCTAAATTGAATGCTGATGACACTTTTACACTGTCAGTGATGCAGACGGTTCACGACCCGGCATATGCACCCACAGGTAGCCATTTAAAGAATATCTATTTTCTAAGAAACGTGATTCTAGAACTAGTAAATATCATCTGAACTGTGAAGATACATTCACAGAAAAATCTGTCTTTTTACAGTGGTCAATTCTTTCTTTCCACTTCATAAAGTTAAATAGATTAAAATTTTATGTGGCTTTGTAAATTCTGGGAGTTTGTGTTTGAACCTCAGAAAAATTTGGCTTTTTTGTAAGTCTAACTTTAAGCTTTTATATTATATTAATTTCCTATCTTAAGCCTAGCTGTAATAGCATGAGATTTCACAAATAGTCTAAGTAGTGATAAAACATAATGCACCACAATTCTACCTGAAACTTCAGTTATTTTCTGAGACTTCTTTGTGTTCCCTACACCACACAGAATGTGAATCTCTTTGGTTTTACATGCTAAATGTGAGCAGTCCCATTAACAACACTAGGATTTCTGAAGAGATGCAATATCAATCTCAAGACTTTATTCTAAAAAAAAATAAAATTCCTTGACACTAGATTACAGTTATTTGAATCAGACTTTTCTCAATACATCAGTGTTTGTGAACTTTCAATATTTTTTGAAAGATAATGTAGCCGCCCAAATAACGAATCAGAGTGTTCTTTCTTTCTGCAGGGCAGGGGCCATCTTTTTTCTTTATTCTTCTTACAACAGTACATACTTACGCTCTCATTAAAGCTCTTCATAATTAGCAAATAAGCAATTAGAAAGCTATCAATCTTTTCTCCTATCAGCATAAGACCACTCGAACACACACTGTGCAGACCGATCAACTTCTTGTTCACGTGCTGTTCACTCAGAGGTAACTTCTCACAGCTCAGTGTTGCAGCTGTCCATTGTTTTTCCCTGCCACCTTGGCACAAGTTGGTATTTCTTATCTTTCTCCCAAGGCCTGTTTCTCATCAAAGCCTTGCTGCTTGTCACGGGCTGTGCAGAGCTGACAGGCTGATGTTAACTTGCCTCTCTCCCACAGGATAAAGACCCTACTCGGCATTTGTGTGTCTAAAATGAACACAACATGTTATCTTTCCCAGCAAATTACATTGATATTTAGTCGTGGTTACTCTTACCAATTTAGAAACTGACTACGAATTATGTCAATTCACCCTCTAGTATGGAGACCAACTCTGGGATTAATTTTGCCTCACTCATATTACTTCCTCCTTCAACAGAGCAGTTCAGATTAGTCAGATATTAATCAGTACCAATGTTTCAATAGTTTCAGGCCTGATGGGTGTCACATGCCTGAAACAATGAGCAAAGTAATGTATAGGGGGAGGTGCTCGGAAGATCTCGTGATGTACAGGAAAAACAGGAGGCACATGAAAAGATCTCGTGATGCACGGACAGTACAGGGAACTAAAGATCTCACGATGTACAGCAAGGGGTATATAAAGCAATTGCGCAGTTAATAAATCGAACAGCTAGCATCCACCATAGTGGTGTTTGTGCTTTCTTTCCCGCGGAGGTTAACCTCCTGCAAGGGTTAGCTATGATCTGAACGCCGCATTCCTGTGGCTTAGCAGATGGAAAAAGACAGCTAATGCCTTACCACAAGTGGTGACCCCGGTGTACGGGCGGTGGCTGTCGGCGGTACACGGCAGGAGGCAAAGGAGCTCGACGCAGGACGGGAGACTCCACGGTGCGCCATGCAGGCCACAGTAAAGGTAAAAATATGGGGCAGATAATATAAGACTTCTATGAAGTCGAGTGCTTTAAAAGAGATGCTACAAAGATTATTAAAGCTCGGTATTCTGGCTCAGCCGATGGATTGTATGAAGCCTGAGCTGTGGCCCCTGATAAAAGCTGATTTAAAAGAGCAGGAAAAAAAGGGAAATCCGCAGCACTTGATGACTTGGGATAAAGTAAATGCATTGATGAAAGCCACCCAAGCCGAAGAGCATGCATCTAAGGATGCGCATAGGGCATTGCAAGGTTCCTCAGAGAAAATTACTCAGACAGAGGACCTTGCAGATATTTCCTCTAAGGAGGAAGGTATGAAGCTAGGGGCGGCGTGGCCTATAGAAGGCAAACCCCCTGAAGAGAACAAAGGGAGCGGAAGTGGCACTAGCCCTTCCAGTTCGTCCGCACCCCCCCCCGAATACCCTCGGGGAACATCACAAAAAGCAAAAGCCGCAATACAACTGGCTGACTTAGAGGATGAGGAGTGGAGAAAACAAATCCAAGAATGTAAACAAGAAATGCAGGCATTTCAAAACAGCAGGAGAGCAAAAAGGGGCGGCTCCGGCCGGACCCCCTGCTCGATTGGCTTCCGGGTGCACCCCCTCCTCTGGAGGAAGTGAACCCTTGGACTGTGGCAGAGCCTCCTGACCCCGGCAATATAAAACAATCAGGCAGTCAGTTCGCTCATTGCTGACATCAGAAAACTCAGGCGGAGTCAGATGACGAATCAGACGACAGCGGTCCTAAATCCAATCACATGGGAAAGTCAGGGGAGTTGCTAGAAAGGGAGGAAAAGAGAAAAAAAAAAAAAAGGAGGAAATGACGATACTGCTACCGGAACTGACACGTCTGATCCTGGGCGGGGCTGCTTCCTCTTGTTTACAAAAACACCCTACTGATTGGCAGCTCATACCGAAAGACTGTATAATATTAGGAGTAAAGCTTCACTCTACAATCGTAGATCTACAACACCCCTCGCGTGAAAACAGCTTTCGACCGCCTTACAGGACAGGGAGCATTTTGAATAACCCTTGCTCAATTACAACTCAGACCAGGGAATTTACTGCCACTACTGAAGCTGGTAAAAATCTTTCATGGATATAGCTAAGCTAGAAAACACAGAACCCCTATGGACCTCTATTAAGCAACGTGTTAAGTTCCACGCTGCGGTCACAGAAACAGACTTACCTGATGGTGCTAAGGAAGCTGTAATAATAGAATGTATCTAACATCAATCTAATCTAATGATCAAGGATATTATAAAGGATATTCTTTTGAATACACCTATACGCACCCTCTTAGGACAAGTGGTGCAAAAGGAGGCAATGACACATGCCCCAGGTGACATCCATCTTGCAGAAAAACCTATATCATATTAAAAAAAAATCAAAACAAACAAACCCACAACCCTCTCTGGTGTTGATAAAAGATCTCATTGGATGAAGCGACAAGAACCACTTTCCTTGATAACTGCACCTTGATGGGTATGCGACAAAACAGGTCATTGGGCATGAGATTGTTGGTATAAGCATTAGGTAAATGAAAGGGGAGGAGCCAGGAATGGGGGCCAAGCTCCTCCAATGCCCTGCAAGTAACCTCCAAAAATCAGAGACAACTTCTACTATACTCCCCAAGTGACAGTCAAGTATGCTCACAAATTTCCACAAGACATGCCTCAGGGCCAGGAACTGTGGCTATCGTTTTAGATTGTAGCAATAAGGCCATGGTCACCGTTTGGATGAGCCAGCCTCGCCCAGGAAGAACAGAAGAAATAGTGCTGCAGGCCATGATTGATTCAGGAGCTGATATAACAGTTGTGGGCAAAAAATGGTGGCCAGGACAGTGGAAAACTACATTTGGGGGATTTGTGCCAGGTGTCGGAGGAGAAAAACCAGTGTACCAAGCAATCACCAACACAACATTTAAAATCCAAGACCAGAAGAAAGGGACCTTGATTGCAATACTAAAGCCTATAGTATTACCAAATTTCCAGGGAGTTTTGTTGGGCCTTGACTGCATGCAACAAATGAAAACTGGCATTACAAATTTAGATTAGAGGCCACTGCCAAACACATACCAGCCCTAAAACTTACATGGTTAACTTCTTCAGTCGTGTGGGTTGACCACTGGCCACTTAATTCAGTAAAACTAAGTGCACTTCAACGATTAGTAGAAAGACACGTACAGGTGGATCATTTGGAACACTCTACAAGCCCTTGGAATGCTCCTGTGTTCGATATCCAAAAGAAAGATAAGACGAAGTGGCACTTACTCCATCACTTCAGGGCTGTAAATCAACAGATGCAGGCAATGGATGCCCTGCAACCTGGACTGCCCTGGGGTTCCACTATACCAAAAGATTGGTCCATTGTGACTATTGATATCAAAGATTGTTTTTTCAGCATCCCTTTACATCCTGCCAACAAAGAAAGATTTGCCTTTACTGTGCCTTCTGTGAACCTCGCTCAACCAGTTCACGTTGGCAATGGACTGTACTACCTAAAGGTATGTAAAACTCACCTGTCATTTGTCAGCTGTATGTTGCCAAAGCCATTGCACCATTGAGAGAAGGTAAGATTGACCATTATGTGGTACACTATATGGATGACATTATTAGCAGCACCTACAGAGTAGAAAGTGGAACACCTGTAACAATTAATATTGTTACAGACTCTTTATATGTTTATAAACTGGTACACAAAATGATAACAGTAGGATTTGTACAGACAGAAGCGTCAACATTATAATGCTCTACAACAACGCATAGGGCAGGTCTTTCTTACACATGTGAACAGTCACCAATCCCTACCTGGTCCAATTGTAGAAGGCAGTCATAACGTTGCCCAGGCGGCTCGAGGTGTATGGTCACTAGATGTTACAAAGCATTTACATGCCTTTCTACACCTTGGAGCGAAAGCCTTAGCGAAAACACCTCATATTTCTCTGTCACAAGCAAAAAACATAATGGCACTTTGTCCCTACTGTCAGGAGGGCCCATTGTGGGAAGCAGGTGTCAATCCAAGGGGTCTCTCTTCCAATCAGATATGGCAAACTGACATAACCGAATGTGACCTATTGAAGCCAAATAAATACCTCATAGTAACTATCGACACCTTTAGCTCTACAATATTAGCCACGATGGCTCACAAACAAACAGCCAGACACATTATTGCTCATTGGGAGGGCATCATTGCCTTATTAGGGAAGCCACAAGAAATCAAGACAGATAACGGCCCTTGTTTCATCGCTAAACGTACCAAAGAATGGTGTGCATTATGACACATCAAGTTAGTACATGGCCTTCCTTAGAGCAGTCAAAGACAAGTAATAATGCAACGTGCGCATCGCACCCTAAAAGCGAAACTACAACAGCTTGGGGAGGGGGAAGGTCATAAGGGGACAATACCCATAGACCGACAGCAGACTCTTTTGTCCCGTGCCCTTTATGCTCATAATCACTTTGTTAGAGGCGACGAGTCCACACCTCCGCTGTGGAAACACTTTATGCCAACCCAGATGACAAGAAATTATCCCTTGGTTCAGATCAAGGAACTGGGAGCGATGACATGGGAATCGGGCCGGTTGCTGAGAGTGTTTGGGCGTGGGTATGCAGCAGTGGAAAAGGATGGTTTAATTAAATGGACACCTGCACGATGTATAAAACCTGAAATAACCACTTCTTCTTAAAAGTTTTGTAGATTTTCTGTGGCCTTTGGCTACATAGATCCTTTGTGAGACAAATTATCTCGCCCAGACCTAACATATGGGTAACTATAGCAAATGAGATGGGAATAGAACTCTTTTGTTTATCACAGGTCAACACCATTGCCCAAAATATTAATTTTGGTGGCAACAACACAAACATTTGGTAAGGTTAAATTAATGGATGGTGGAAAGGTGTGGTGCAAATAGAACCATTTTCTTTAATAATCTGGAGAAGAGTTTACGCTTCTGTGTTCACAGGTCACAGTCCCTGGTGATTACTGACAAGGTGTGTGCAACCACACCTGAGGTATGAGAGGCAGTCAGCACTCAGGATCCAGCTGTGGGTGCTGTGGATGCATCTGTACCAAGTGTTCGCAATCTCTTCAACTGATCTTTTTAAGCAGAATGTCTGGGTAATGTTTGCTACTGTGACAGAATGAACCACACTACAGTTGCCTTAATGAAATATTTAGATTTATTAGTCAATAGTGGAAGATGTAGTTTAGATGATATGTAATTATTAATAAGGATGAAATGCTGTAAGAATGCATGTATTGAACTTGCTTTGTTTAGGAATGTTATGAAATAAGATCTTAAGTGTTTAACCTTATTTAGAAACTCCCTTGGTTTTCCCCCTGGAGTACTGGCCAGACTCTGGGTGGAACCCAACAGGAGGATGAAATCAGATGTTTCCGCTCAAAGAAAAGTGCCAGTTATTTTGGCCTGTTGATTTAGAGGCTGGACCTGCTTGCAGCGACGTTGGATGTCTTACCTACAGATGGACGCATCGTGTAGGATTTCCGGTTTGTGAGGAAGGGCACTCTAAATTCTCACTGCATCCAGGGTTCCCTAGCAATTGCGGATCTGAACGTTAGTATTTCTGTTAATTAAGTGTGCTACTTCATATTTTCCTCATTGTTTATTTTTGTAGTAATTAGTCACATCCCTTAATTATAAGTAGTGAAATTAGCTTATCTTCTCATTAGTAATCATAACTGCTGTATTGTTTTAGCCTTCTGTGGAACTATTCTAAGTGTGCTTTGTTTTTGAAGTTTGACTAACCCTTGATTGAGACAGCTCTCAGACGGGTCTTGCGGGTGCTGCCGCAAAACAAAAAAAGGGAAGATCCAGAAGGCATCGGTCTTATACAACTTCTGACGCATGGTCGATATAGCATGGCTAGGGGGAAGTGTAGGGGGAGGCGCTCGGAAGATCTCGTGATGTACGGGAAAAACAGGAGGCACATGAAAAGATCTCGTGATGCACGGAAAGTACAGGGAACTAAAGATCTCGCGATGTACAGCAAGGGGTATATAAAGCAATTGCGCAGTTAATAAATCGAACAGATAGCATCCACCATAGTGGTGTTTGTGCTTTCTTTCCCGCGGAGGTTAACCTCCTGCAAGGGTTAGCTGTTATCTGAACACCGCATTCCTGTGGCTTAGCAGATGCAAAAAGACAGCTAATGCCTTACCACAACAGTAATGTCATTCTCTTCAGCATTAGTTGGGAAGTAGTTATACAGCAATATACTTGTTCTCAGAGAAAAAGGAGATAAATAGAAAAATGATAAAATAATTGGATAATTAAATTTTAAAATCAGAAAGCTAGTCATCTTCAGCCTGGAGAAAAGATAAATTGTTCTCCTTAATTGAAAAGAAGGAAAAACTATGGCAAACAAACAAACAACAACAACAACAACAAAAAGTGGTTGAAACATTGCAAGGAGAAAATACTTTCATAGATGTGAAAAACATGCTTTATATCTCACTTTTTCACAGCTTTTCTAGAAAAACACTGTCATGCTTGCCTCTCCACCTTCTACTATACAGAAGATAAAATGTTATATGTTAAAGTGCTTTGTCATATAATTCTTTGTTTTACTTCATCCATGTCTTGCTATGAAGCTTTCAGCAGGTCCGAAGAGCCTTGGATACTTTCTTGGAGACCTATTTCCTTGAGAAGCATCCAATAAATATTTCTTATGTTTGGAGGTACCTGCTAAGATACCTGCTAAGAAAGTGAAACTGAATGTCACAAAGGCACACCACTCATCTAACTCAGTTTTTAGAAATACTTTGAATTGCCTTGTCCTGTAAAACCTGCAAGCCTTGCAACAGAACAATTTTCCCATCTCTTAATTTGTTCAATAGTATTTCTTGTAACAGGATAATAGTTACCTCTTCATCATCCACTTTTTGACTCAAATTCCATTAACAATAAGATTTCCCATATGTTATGCCCCTGCATATACACAGAGATACAGCCTTTGAATAATTAGTCATTCTTCTTTACTCATACCAAGTAAATTTAAATTCATGTGTTACAAATAATTTTCTTAATTTATTAATTTAGTTCTGGAAGAAAAATGTTCAGTAGACTAAATAAGGTAAATCTGACACATAATATTTATGAAAATACAATTTCTTCCCACTTCTGCATAGATTTATTACATCTCTGTAATGGGACAACTAGTAAGCAAACAGGTGAAATGGTGTTTGCTGGAGATGTAAAAAAGGCTCGTCAACATGGTCTGCAGACTTGGTTTCTATCTATAACCAAGGAAACAGGACGTGGGCATATACTTACATCTCCCATTCCAATGAAAGGCTACAAAATTCTGGACCCTCACAACGTGCATGACTCCAATGAATATTTATGCAAACCTTTTTCATCTTCACACGCTATTAGCAAGATTGTCTGTTATGTGGAGCAAGTACCTTCCTCTGACAGTACTTTCTTATTTATAACTCATTGTAGACATAACTTGAACAGCTAGACATGCAACTTAATGAGAAATGATTTAAGGTAAGCAAGTAAATTTGTTAAAAATTTAGTAAACAAGTAAAACAAGTAAATTTGTTAAAAATAATAAATAGCATATGAAAGTAAGTAATACGTTATGAAATTTTTGACTGAAGAAAAAGTAAATGACTGTTCCTTAAAAATTCATTTTTATTTCCTTCATGGGGAAAAAAAAGGATTTTGAAGAAGAAGAGCAAGAAATAATTTATTAAAAGACAGGAAAAGAGACTGCTTTAAAACTGAAGTTAGTGACCAACCATATGTAAAGAAAGAAAAAAGTAAATAAGAAAACAGAAATAAAGCATAGATTTTCAAATGGAAAATGTGCAACAGACCATGTCATACGGATTATGTAGCAGACGATGTAGCAGTGAAATGCAAACTCTCTTCTTAATACATTCTGATTTCCAATCAGTATGTTTCCTGATCTTCCCTTAAGACCTTGTAACATTCTCATATTTTTCTTAAATTTACTCTAGAAGCCACTGAAGTACTTTTACTTCTATATTTTGTGACATGGCCAGCTTAAATCTCATTCAACACTGTATAAGCATACATAGTGATAATTATTTCAATGGAATGCATTTTATGATGCATATTAAACTATTTTAACATGGAACATAATCCACCAAACAAGTTCCATATTACGTTGTTATTTATTCCCATGCAAATAAATTGAATGATATGTCTTTACACCTATAAAGAAATAGATCATAAGAAATCAATGATTAATCACCTCTTATTCTAACATTACATAAAGCATTCTAATACAAAAATATTTGATAAGATGCAGGTAGATTACAGCTGATAGCAATACAATTTCACTCAAGAATGCTTCCAGTTTAAATCATTTTTAAATACAGGCTTCAATAAGGATCAATAAACCTTCTACTGATTTAAATGTAAAAAGAACATCCTCCTCAATTTTAGGACATATTTATCCATGTGGCTCACTCTTCTGAAAAAATTTACACTGGTTATTACCCTCTACAGCAGACTCCTAAAGAAATTAAGACACATTGGTCATTCACAGGAATGTACTAGAAGGGTTAGATATGTGCTGCACCACATGCAGCACATTTTGTGATAGAGGGACCATATCTGTAAGAAAAAAATCCAAATGGTCATGTTTTGAAGAAAAACAGAGGTGAATGTGCAACTTAAAACAGCGTTTGGTAGAGACATGAGAATTTTCTGAGAACTATTGGATGTATTAAAACCAAAAGAAAAGCGGATTCTATTAATCCCAGTAAAGAAAATACAGACAGCCTCTTGAGAAACTCTGCTGATTTCTCAAATGTAGGTAAATGCTAATGGTATCTAAATCAACCAAGATTTCTTCTTTCTATGTGTAACTGTCATTATTTCTTTTGACAAGGCTTCCAAGAAAAAATAAACTTTGACTTTTAGAGTTGGTCAAATTTTGTCTTACATTGTTGGAAGATTAACTAACTGTTCTACTATTACTATGCCAGGAGAAATTCTCATTATATACTGGAATACATGTCACCATATCTTGAATTCCTTAATAGCAAATGTCTTTGGGTTTTTGTTTTTGTTTATTGAGTTTTGTTTTGGTTTTAACAAGCATACAGTAAGGGCATGCAAAATACAAACTGAATGTTACTACAGCAATATCTGCTCAGTGGAGTTCAGCAAAGAGTTCAGTTGCCCTTTTCTAGCTAATTGGGAAGATCGTTTGAAAAAGTCATTGCTGATTTTTATGACAGCTACCAGGATAGAATAGGGACCTGCTTTAAGGTGGATTAACATATAAAAAGGATATTTCTGAGGTTTGGTGTTGTGTTTTTTTTTTTTTGTTTGTTTTGTTTGTTGGTTTTTTTTTGTTGTTGTTGGTTGGTTGGTTTGGTTTGTTTTTTTTTTTTAACAGGTGAGTACTATGCTGATCATGGATCAGCCTTCAATTTTTG